TTTGTGGTGGATTCTAACTGTTGAATTGTTTTGGGGGTGCTTGCAGATAATGAGCCATTCGGCAGCACAACCACCGTTGCTCTTCTGCTTTAAGTTACAAATGGAATACTAGCAGACATCAGGAATCCAAATGACATTCAGGAGCGGGTGAAATAAATCCCTAAACATCCTCCGAAGTGCTTTTTGAAGAAAAGTTGAGGATTTCACTAAAAGGCAATTGGGGTTTCACTAAAAGCGATGAGATCCAAGTGAAAGTGAATGGGGCGGAATGAAACGTTGCATATCCATTATTGCTAAAACTGCCGTTTAGCAGCACAGCAGCAAATCTGGGATGTTGTGTTGATGGAATAAAAGATACTGGTAATATCATTTTGGGCCCAGGTGCAGGGAAGCCATGGCAGTGAATAACAACAGCAAGCCACGTGTTGGATTAAAATTAGGCCACAAATTCACTGCTTACAAAATAATAGTTTTGGTGTAAGCATTGGGTTGGCTGGTATGCTAATATCCAGCAATTGGGGGTTGGTCAAAGTTGTGGTCCACTGCGGCACGAACTGCTTTCTGTGGACTCCAGTTGGTCACTGATAGGGGTCCCATGGCCCCTCAGTCCCCAAGCTGGGCTTCTAGACAGCTGGGTGTTACCACCCAGAATTCCTCCAGAGGAATTCCTCTATATGATGGGGAAGGGTGACCCTTCCCTGCCCCTCCCTCCAATGTCTCTCCCACCACCAGTTGTGACAATAACTATGAGGTAGGCAAAAACCCACAGGACCAAAGCCAATCTCCCTGTGGGCCAGATTGCTCAGTAGCCCTGAAAATGGCAACCAACAAATGTTCGTAGCAAAGCCGATGGACAGTAAACCCTTCCCTGTAGAGAGTCAGAAGTAAAGAAAACTGGTGAAGAGTGGCAAGGTAGGAAAGTCTGTTGAGACTGAGGTGAGGTGAGCAGACAAGCCCTTCCTTTTATGCTCCAGGAGTGGACCAGACAGCGTGCAGTCTCCTTTCTGGTCCCCACCCCTTGGTGGAACCCAGAACACCGCTGATTGGCTCTCCAAAAATCTCATCCCATTCCTGTTGTTCTATGTGACTGCAAATTGTGTGAAGTACTTTCCAGCAGTGCAGGAAGCCCGAGACACTGGGTGCTCCACATCCTGCAAACAATGCTCCCCTGTATGTTGGGGAATTACTGGACATAGATATTTACCTGGATAGCCGTGTCTCTTTACTATAACGAGAAATCTGGTGACGCAATTTCATATTTTTACATTGATTTTGCAGCCATGAAATGTATTAAGAAACACATTCGACTTAATTTTGTGTCTTTCCAAACCCGATACAAGATTGGTGAAATATGTTATCCCGAGTGCAGGAGAATTAAATCCAAGTAATTAAATTATTTGATAGTTTATAAATTGGACTGAAAGATGAGAATGCACGCTTCTCTGTTTGATCAAATCACCAAGCGTATGAAATCGTATTTTGTGCTAAACATGGCTGATTTGAAAAGCAAAGAATACTCTCAGGTTTGCAGTCAGAGTCGTAGCCATTACCTGAAAGAATAGCTCTCTCCCCAACAGAAGCTTTCTAAAGCCTCCTGCATTATTTTTGGGATCTTTTTAAGGGTGTTAATATCAGTGCTGTGCAGCAAACCAGTCTTCATTTTCAGCTCGTAGTTTAGTGATTCTATAAAAGGGAGAAGCTGTAATGAACACGCTGAGGCGAGCTAGGACCGACTCAATGGACACATTGCGGTAATTTCCATTGCATTAAAAAGCTATTGATCAGCGAAGTCTACCATTGTGATCTATATACATCATAGCTTGGGAAAAGTGGCTCCTCAAGACAAAGGGTGTCATTGAGTGGATGCATTTGGACGGCTCAGCGACTCTGATAACAAATAAGTCATATAGGCATATAAAGCAGTACAACGTATAGCAAAATGCAACTGGATTGAAAGCCATCAGGGAGCATTGTGACAAGGAAGTTGGCAGCAATAATCTTTGGTGTCCTGATCTCCCAATGTAATTCTGAGATCTATCAGTTGAGAACATTATAGCTGGGGCTACCTGCTTGATGTGGAAATCAGTTCATGGCTGTTTACTGAGAAGTCTCATTGGGTTAAACATGATTGTGCATAGGATCACATCCTATGTGTAGTCCTTTATCCTTTGTAGTCCTTTATCCTTTGTTAAGTAGAACCAGGTACAAAGAAGCCTTTCAAAAGAAGTCATTGAATGCATTTTTTAATTACATGTGGGGGGGCTGAAGAGACTGATAGCTCTGAAACTTGGGCTCACGCTATCCAGACTATAAGTGTGATGTAAATAGAATGTGGGGAATTATACAGTGTGTGCAGAGCAGCTAGATAAGTGTAAAGCCTCCCATGTATTTTTCAACTACAACTGCTATCAACCCCTTTGTAGTCCAGCAATGTTTGCAAGGCACCACATTGGCTAGTTCTGCTGAAAGTGATCAAAGCTTAGGAGAGCTAAGCCATAGGCTATCGGGGAAATGAAAACAGAAATTGTATATTATACATCTAGAACACTGGTCTTCAACTGGTGAGACAGGACCCATTAATGTATCACTGCTTGATCGAAGGTGTGTTGCAACAGGAACACTACCACAAGGAAACAGATGCTTAAAAGATTAATGAATGGGTCCCCCAGTGCATTTTTGGGTTAAAAGTGAGTCCTGAGTCTGAAAAGGTTGAAGATACCTGATCTAGAAGATAGTGTAAAAAGCATTCAAAGATGGGAAACAGTGGAGAAGATTGGTATGGGGTGTGGAACTACCTACCAAAAGAAGTTCATAAATCCATAGCAGAAATTTATTTTTTAAAGTATTTTAATATTAAACTATTTTTTTAGTTTAGAACGTTGCCTTCTATTGACTCATACCATTTGTCCATCTAACTTGTCACTGTCCACCCCGACTGGCAGCAGACCTCCAGGGTTCCACACAGGGGGCTCCCCTTGCTCTAGGTCAGCCTTTCTCAACCTGTGGGTCCCCAGATGTTGTTGAACTACAACTCCCATCACCCCTAGCTAGCAAGGCCAGAGCTCAGGGATGATGGGAGTTGTAGTCCAACAACATCTGGGGACCCACAGGTTGAGAACCGCTGCTCAAGGTGGAAGTCCTGGTGGTTGAACCATGTACCTTTTGCATGCCAACCAGATGCAATACTGCCGAGCCCTTAAGATATTTCCTAAGAATAAGTTCCATGGTGGAGATGCAGACCATTAAGAGAAGTGCTTGTGTTGAAGGGCAAATAGTAACTCCTTGGTGGAAAATTCTACCATGTGCTCAGTCCTGGAATAGACTGTATATACACAAGGGTACACGAACATGGCACATAAGGGAGAAGTAAAGATGCAGCTGCAGAGGAGCGACCAAGGGCCTTAAAGAGTGATACAGCTGTTTGCTGCTGACAGCAAATCCTGCTGAGATCAGTTGCGCTAGGGAGTTCCCAGTTGGGTACTTCCCCTCGCAGCTGATCCCTGCTGAAAGTGGGCTTTGCTGACAGCGCCTATCAACACAGCAAGCACTGCTGGGATTGGATGCACTAGAGAGTTCCTAATCAGAAACTGCCTAGTGCTGCTGATCCCTGCTGAAGCTTGGCTATGCAGCTGAAGCCAGGCAATGACTCAAGATGTCTTCAATTCAAATGCCGCCTTTGCCATGAACTCAGTAGCTGTTCTTATGCAAGCCACTCTCGTCCTCGGCCCCCTCATGCAATATGTGGATAATAGCCATGACCTTCCTTGCTAACTATTACTCTACGGTTTCAAGAGTTCATCATCATTACTGGGTGTACTCTGCCTGAGCAAGAAATAATGGCTTGTTGTTCGGCTGAGAGGCAGAGTGGGTATTTTGAGAGCTCAGCAAATTAACGAATGAAAGAAAATGAAGTATGAGACCGGAGGCCGCCGTTGCACTCGCCCAAGCACCAAAGAAAGAGAAGAATTCTGAGGAGGGGCATAGTTCAGTGGTGGAGCACCTGTTTTTCTTGTAGAAGGCTCCAGATTCAATGCCTGGCATCTCCATGTAGTGCTGAGGAACAATACTGCAGCTAGGTAACATTAGATCCTGGACATAATGGTCCATAAGGGACACGGGTGGCGCTGTGGGTTAAACCACAGAGCCTAGGTCTTGCTGATCGGAAGGTCGGCGGTTCGAATCCCCGTAATGGGGTGAGCTCCCGTTGCTCGGCCCCTGCTCCTGCCAACCTAGCAGTTCGAAAGCATGTCAAAGTGCAAGTAGATAAATAGATACCGCTCTGGCGGGAAGGCAAACGGCGTTTCCGTGCACTGCTCTGGTTTGCCAGAAGCGGCTTAGTCATGCTGGCCACATGACCCAGAAGCTGTACGCCGGTTCCCTCGGCCAATAAAGCGAGATGAGCGCCACAACCCCAGAGTTGGCCATGACTGGACCTAATGGTCAGGGGTCCCTTTACCTTTTTATAATGGTCTTATGTTGCCTTCGTTTTAGATGTCCATGTTTAGTACTTCAGCTCTGAACCACTGGTCCCCACATGTCTGTAATATGCTTTAACGAAACAAGAAGGATGTTGTGGTGACGTGGCATTTGTGCTGGACGTTGCATTAGTCCCCAAGCATTGTGAACAAGCAAAGGTGATTTTAATTTTTCCTTCCCTTTTCTGCTATGGACTGTGGCCTCTTCAGCCAGTGCGTTGCTTATTATCTTGAGCCCTCTTCATGTATAGCTACATGGATGGGGAGAAGAGGACGGTGCCTGTTGGAGTGACCCCTACTGTTGCAAACCTGGCTGTGCCCTTTCAATGTCAGAATGTGGCACCCATGTGTGTATAGTTCATAGAATCCTAGAGCTGGAAGGAACCCAATGGTCATCTAGTCCATCCCCCTGCCATGCTGGATTCTCAACAGAAGTGTCCATGACAGATGACCATCCAACCTCTGCTTAAGAACTTCCAGTGAAGGAGAGTCGACAATCTCCCGAGCTATTGCTATTGCTGTCAGAAAGTTCTTCCTGTGTTTAGTTGAAATCTTCTATTGTGTAACTTGAAGTCATTGGTTCGAATCCTACTCTTCAGAGCCGGAGAAAACAAGTTTGCTCCATCTTCCACATGACAGTCCTTAAGATATTTGAAGATGGCTATCATATCTCCTCTCTGTCTCCTCTTTTCCAGGATAAGCATACCCAGTTCCTTCAACTGTTCCTCATAAGGCCTTTGTAATTATTATTTCGTACATTTGTATACCACCCTATATCTGCAAGTCTCTGGGTGGTTCACAAGATAAAATCACAATATAAAAACACTTGGTTTGCAGACCCTTGAACATTTTGGTCACCCTCCTTTGCACACATTCCAGCTTGTCAATATACTTCCTATTAAGCTGTGTGTTATAAGTACCGGTATATTTGTAATGAGAGAAAAGAAAATCAATTTTAAAAATATATATTATTTTTTAATTCAAGATTTCCCTTGTTTACAAAAGCACATGCATTATCTCTTTCTTCAGGTTGTGCTTTCTACAGACCAGTTACATTTGTTGTGCGACATTGGTGTTATATGCAGTATGGGGTTGGGAAGAAAAGAGGGGGCAGGAGAGAGGGAGTGGGGGTAAAGCTTATGTTCTTTTACATAGTGTATGCATGGGGTTTTTGTGTCAGCGTCACTTGGGTAGGTTCTCTTTCTATTCAACTTGTTATGTTTCCTTGGTGGTGAGAAAAGTTGGGATGGCCTAGGGGTTGGCTGCACTGGGCTTTGTTTGTGCGTGTTGTTGGGTTAAGTTAACCATAACCGTATGCTGTTGGTGGGTTCGTATTGTTGTCTTGTTGGGCTGTGTATGTGATAGAGGGGAGCCATACCAGAGTGAAGGCGTCCTATTTCTCCCCTTGTCAGTTTCAGTCTATTGGTTAGCTTTTCTAGTAAGGCTCTTTCCCACACTACTTGATACCAGTGTTCCATGTTCAATATCTTTCCTAAATTGTTTGTGAATGGGTGCTCCACACTATCAGGAGCCTTGCACATATTGGGTTCCCTTTCATGTGGATCACATGTGCTTGTACATTTGCTTGAGCCCGGCTTCGGCTGGGGAGGGCGGGATATAAATAAATTATTATTATTATTATTATTATTATTATTTTATTTATTATGTATGTATGCTGTTTGGTTGTACGTCACTTTGGGTTTCCCTGGGCAAGATAAAGAGACTGACAAATTTAATAAGCAAATAGACTAATGTTTGCAGATGTTCTGCTGAATGCACACACTCAAGAGTATGTTTGATAATGAATATAATTACGATTATCACTAAAGTTTTTAAAGCATTTTAACATCCCGTGGGGGGGGGCTGTGCATTTTCACAGTGAGCCTTCCCATACAATTAAATAGTTAAAAACATTAAGCTTACTTTTGAGAAAGTAAAGGCAAGTATTGCTGTTCCCAAGCTTTTCCTGCTCAAACAAATGTGTCTCATTTGCCCTTGAGATAGAACAGTTTCACTTTCTGTTTTCTCAAAAGCTCAGAGCCCTCTTTGCTTTAGAGCAGACTCTTGCTGCTGCCGCCGCTCTGATCATGGGATCGTCCAGGCCCCAGACTACACAGGTCTGAACTGGCAGAAAGGAAAAGCAGAACATCCGCAGCACAATGACATATCTGGGAATGTAACTCAAAGCACTCCTGGAGCGAAAAGGGACAATTGGAGAGGATGGCAATATTTAGGGATGGAAGAGAATTTTGTTCCATCCACATTTTATTGAAAGCAAACTGACCTAATTTTCACATTCTAGACTAACACAGGGATAAAGATGGAGTTATATTTGAGAGTTAGCACTTCTCCAAATATTGTGATACAGCTCTTTGCTTAAAAATTGCAACAGAATGTATAAAAAATATATATTTGTGCGAAGGTAAAGCAAATTTAGACATGCATATATTAAGATGGATTACACATTAAAGTGTGTGTTTTTTGTCATTTCTATACTTCTGTATGACGCAGGTGGTGCTGTGGTCTAAACCACTGAGCCTAGGGCTTGCCGATCAGAAGGTCGGCGGTTCGAATCCCTGTGATGGGCTGAGCTCCCATTGCTCGGTCCCTGATCCTGCCCACCTAGCAGGAAGCCCACACTTTGGTTTCACATTGAAAAGAATATTGATTTTTCAGTAGTTGATTCAGGCTTTATGAAATGTATAAAGTTGAGAGTTTAAAAATACGGTAAATAAATGGAAAATGCTTGATATGCTTTTCCAAGTACAGCCAGAGACTAACCTTTCAGAAAAAGAAAATGTGTCTGCGCCACTCATATTATATACTGGGAAATGAACTATAAAATAATAATAATATTCATTTTCTTTTTCTGTTTTTAAATACTTTTTTTTTTTTTTTTTACTGGCACTGCACTCAAGCCTTCTTGGAAATAATTGTGCGTTCACTAAAGTGTATTGGTCAGGACATGAAATCTGAATGAGTGATTGGATCCCACCCTTTGGTAGAGCAGGCAGGTCACATAACTTACATATCTTGTTTGGATTGCTGCATGCTTTTAGAGGCTTGAGTGCAATCTACTAAGAATGTGCATTGTGAAAAATATGTTTATTGTAATTGTTCCCCATTGCTCATTTGAACTTTCAGCTGAAAGCCAAAGAACATCCTATCCATTTTTCATAAACATTGTGTCAGGCAGAAGGATCTCCATATAGTTCGTTTCTGGGTCATAATGAATTAACTAATTAGTTAATTAACTAATTAAGTGAGGGGTTTTTTAAAAAGAGTGAAAAATCCCCAAAATTTTATGTGGACAGATGGCGTTATGAGAATGTCTATGTTGTGACTGCATTGCACAGTGCCATTGTTGGTTTGCAGCAAGTGTGCGCTGGCAGTGTAAGGTAAATAGACAGTAAAAATACAGTGTTACGCAGACAGTAGGAAGAAAGCCACAGAGACAGCTATGGATTTTAGTGGGCCGCAGACGTCTTTATTGCAACATTTACAGACGCACAGCATCAGAATGCATCCTGTGCAGACACTCAAGAACAAACCAGGTTCCTTCGCCACTTAGCAGCCCTCAAAATGCAACACTTGAGACTTTCCTTAACCTATCCATCATCATTGCAAGTCAACCAAACACCTCACGTGAATTTTCTCTCCCCCGCCATTGTCGAGACCCTTTCCTAAGGCTCAGTTCCTGTCTCGTTGTTCTGCCCAGCAAGGAAATATGGAGTAGGTTAACAAGGACAAGCCATGCATCACATATTAACCCAGAAGGCACAGAACGGCATTAGTGCCTTTTTAATAAATAAATGGCCTGCTCTGTTTTTGGTCCACTAAGCTAAAAGCAGCATATGGGACATGAATATGAAGCTGCCTTCTTATCACTGGCCTTTCTGGTCCAATATTGTGTATGATGACTGCCTGTGGCTGCCTAGGATCTCTAGCAGAGTTGTTTTCCCCTAGCCTTTCCCCCTGAGATTCTTTGCTTGAGATGCTAGGGACTGGACCTGGGACATGTCACTTACAGATCCTGAAGGTTGCTAGATCGGCAGCATTGCGGAGGATGCAAAATGGTGAGCAGGTTGCCAACACAGCCCAACTACCCCCACCAAAGCAAAAAGATCACTTTGAGAGAGAGAAAAGGAAGCAGCTGCGTTTGTGCTAATTCCCCCTGCTATTACATACACCTCTGATGTCGGAGCCTGTGGAGAAGGCAGGTCAAAAATTTCAGGACCATGGTGAGCAAGGAGGTTTCCTGCTGGCTGAGAGCTTTACGCCTCTGCCTCTTCTAGACTACACCCCCTTGTGGAGAACTTTAGATACTTCAAGTGCCAAAACTGGCATTCCTTCTCTGCTGCATGCCCTGTGCTGCTGGACTAGTCAACTGCCATGGTAAGCATTCAGTTCCTCAGGCTGGGGAAAGATTTCCCCATGACTCTTTGCTTAGGCATGTTTAACTCAGGGCCAGCAGCATGCTAGGGTCAGTCCAGGACATAGAAGTGGCATGGTCCCCTCCAACAAGACCTGAAAACCCCTATAATGGATAGACAAAAGGCAGGAAATGGCAATGAGTCATGAGAAAAGAAGTCGACCTTTAAGGGTGGGAAGACTTAAAGCCATAGATAGAAGTTTTACTCAGAGAAGCTTCTAATTTGTCATGTAGATTATATATGAGCAACAAGAATCAGTGGGATGACTGTGAGTACATGATAACTTGACTAAACATCAGGAAGAAGTTTCTGGTGGTAAGAGCTGTTCAACAGGGGGATGGACTCCTTTGGATGATCTCAGCTGGTGTATAGACGTCCAGGAAGTCTTTAATCTATCCTAGACCCAGGTTGTCCAGAGTTTTGCATCTAATAATATATAGAGCTGGACCATAAAGAAGGCTGATCGCTGAAGAATTGATGCTTTTGAATTATGGTGCTGGAGGAGACTCTTGAGAGTCCCATGGACTGCAAGAAGATCAAACCTATCCATTCTGAGTAGGACTAGCATGAGATTAACCCTATGGGCAAGGATTCAACTTCCTTTAGGTACACCCATGGGATGGAAATCAGCCCTGAGTTCTCACTGGAAGGACAGATCCTGAAGCTGAGGCTCCAATACTTTGGCCACCTCCTGAGAAGAGAAGACTCCCTGGAAAAGACCCTGATGCTGGGAAAGATGGAGGGCACAAGGAGAGGGGGACGACAGAGGACGAGATGGTTGGATAGTGTTCTCAAAGCTACCGGCATGAGTTTGACCAAACCGAGGGAGGCAGTGGAAGACAGGAGTGCCTGGTGTGCTCTGGTCCATGGGGTCATGACGAGTCGGACACAACTAAATAACTAAGCAGCAACAACAATATAATCTCATTACGCCCAGGTCTAGAGCCCCATATATGTTGCCTTGCCCTCCTCCCTCTGCTCACAGATTTTTGTCGGCATCCTGGCATGAAGCTTTATTGAAGGTTATGTCTTCCATTTTAAAAAATGTAATCACAATACTATTAAAAGGTAATTTGCTATGGGAGGGAGCTTCTTTTCAGGGATGATTGCCATAATTTTTAAAAATTCATTTTAGTAACGAAAAACAGAGATCCACCTTCACTATTTAAGAAAAGGAGGCTGTGAATTCAAAACCATTTTTTTCTGCAAGTAAAACATCTTTTAAGGTGCTAGGGATGCCGTTGTAGAACAATAATTTTACTGTTTGGTGTATTCTGCCTGCTAAT